TTTGGGATGACTGTATTTTGATACTTATGGCTTTATTGACTTGGTTTTATGGAAACAATGATTTTACTTAATTTAAAATGAAAATTTTGGTTGTGAAAAATGGGACGTTTCGATTTGTCGAGCTTGGTCGGAGAACATTGAACATATTTTATTGGGAATATTGGATTGCTGGGAAGCAGGCTTAAGAGCGGTGGTTTTGGTGTCCTTGTTGAAACAAGCACCCATGGGGGGGGGGGGGGGGGGGAGAGAGAGAGAGAGAGAGAGAGAGAGAGAGAGAGAGAGAGAGATGTGAGCTCAATCTTACTTTTTAATTATTAAAATAAATAAATATGTATTAGCTTTTAAAAAAATGAAAGAAAAATGGAAAATAAATACTTTAAGGGTATTACGGTCATATTCGGAGGGATCAAATACGTAAAGAAACTAACTTAAAAGAATTGTCAATCCAAAAAAATTAGTGTTTGGATTAAAACCCAAAATACATATCATAAAGATCATTTTTAACAGTTTTATCTATTTTATATTTTAAATGAGTAGTCATACTAGGTTTTAATGAATGAGCCCCTATAAATAAATAAGTATATTTATTTTTATGGGATCCTTTACATATTCGTTCGGCATTCGGGCTTTAATCGAGTGAATCCCGTTTATTTATTTTTAAAAGGTAACATTTTAACTATATACATAACGTTACCACCAAATTAATCCAACACGTTAAATAATGAAAATATATAGAGGAACATAATTATAAGACAAAATTATGGTCTATGTGGTTTGTTGAAATTGGCACACATAGTCCAACTTAAAAAAAAAATAGACAAACTATCTTTATGTTTTTTCGATATTGCGGAAATGGCCATTCCAACACACGACGTCAAAACATGCCATTAAAATTCTATAAAATGTCATGTTTACCACTTCTTTTTTTCTTTTCCATTCTTATATATTTTATTGTTACTTCCGTAAACTACATGGATTATTTATGTAACTTATCCCTTTTCTTTCTTTATTATTCTTCTTCCTTTACTAAACCCCCATTTTTGTGATTATTTATGTTTACCACCTCTGGCAGCGCTGCCTCCTCGAACCATCCCTTTTGCAAACGAGCCCTAAATCATCACAATCCACCAATACATCTCCTTCCTTTGTCTCCGGTGACCCCGACAACGTTCGACCACCTATCTCTTCCATGCAACCATCGACACCACCTTTTCTTCCCTTCAAGTAAAATACTTCCTCAAACACATTGAATTTCACATGAACATCTCAATTTTGTAAGTATCCATCCCCTATTTAATAAAAAATAAAAATAAAAATAGAGAATCCAACATACTCAACCATTTATCTCTTAAAAAAAAAAAAATCTAACATACTCATCCATTTATCTTTGAATTTTCTTTTTGCAACCAATATTTCAAATTCAACCAAGTGTCTTACCTTTTTATTATTTTGTTATTGATCTATACTTGCTTGGGAAAGAAGAAATAAATGGACAACGATTATGTACGGTTGTAGAGAGGTAGACCTGAAGATGGAGGATTTTCAGGATTTGTTCTATAAATACACAAATCTAGGTTCGATTTCAAATTCAACCAACTTCAAATTCGTTTCCACAATTACGGTAGGGTTCAGTTTTAAGAGGATTTAAGGTTGGACGATTTTGTTAGGGTTCAATTTTAACAAGATTTAAAGATGGACAAATTTTTACTCTCTAAAAAATATGGGTTTATGTATCATCTTCTTAATCCTAGATCTACGTTTGTATTTAGATTTTAATGAACATGATTTGTTCCGGATCTTTTTATTCCAAAGAAGATGATGAATTTTTGGGAGGATTTTTTTATTTTGTTCATAGTATGGATGACTTAGGGTTGAAAGTTGAAGATGAAGGTGGTTTGAATGGTTTTTAAAGATCAAAACGATGGCTGTTGTTGAATGTTCTTCGTTACCAAGAATACTCCGCTATATTTAAAATTACATAAATGATCCCTATAGTTTCAGGAAGTCACAATAAACTAAAAAAAAAGAAAATAAAGAAATGGTAAAGATGTCATTTTATAAAATTTTAACGGCATGCTTTGACGCCGTGTGTTGGAATGACCATTTCTTCAATATCAACAAAACACAAGGACCGAGTTTGACCATTTTTTTGAAGTTGGACTATATCTTCCTATTTACCCAAACCATAGGGACCATTTATGTAATTTTGTCTAATTATGAATATGTTTCTATAATAAACCAAAACTTAAAATAAGCTAAACTCAATGAATAAAATATAAATTACTAAAAATTATCAAAGTAAAAAAAATTTTTGGAGAAGAAAAATGTTAACAGCAAAATTATACGTTTTTTTTTTTTTTTTTTTTTTTTTTTTTTTTTTTTTTTAAAGTTAACCCACTGTATTATTATATTTATCATTTATGCGGATAAGATTCTCACATACATACATAAAATAATAAAGTAAGTTCTATATTTCAAATAATCATAGAATTCTAGAAAAAGCGGGTTAATGTTACAGGCTGGTGACGATAGACCCCACACTACCACCACCATCATCAGTCGCTCCTAACCAACGGTCATTTCCTCTTTTGAATAACATAAACCCTAGTCTAACCCACCTCTCTTACAAAACACCAACAAAACTCGACCGTTTGTTTCTCTCTCTCTCTCCTCCTTTGTAATAATGGAGATTGTCTAGCAATTTCAAAGCCCAGAAGAAAGTCTCTGTAAATCAAGAGCAGGGAGACACATAAGTGATTTCCAATGGGTTGTTTTCTTGGTTGTTTCGGTTCTTCAAAGGATCGAAAACGAAGAAAGCAGAGGTACAAAGTTATCCCTCGAGATCAAGTAAGAGCAAATCACTTCCACTTTTTCGTTAAAAACAGAATTTTGTTTAACTTCGAGTTGATTTGATTTTTTGTGGCGTGTTCTTGTTTTCTAGTGTTTGAATTTGATTTTGAGTTTTATGATATCTGATTCGTTAATTTCATAGCTACTCATGACAGCTTCAATTGTTTGATTTCTTCGATTTTCATTTGATTTTCTGGTTTCATTTTATGATGCACAAAATTGAATGGAAACCATAAAATATAGATGAGAAATGAGGAAAACGGAGGTTAATTTTTTGTTTTTCTGGAAAGAGCAAGAAACCACATGAGAAAATGAATGTGAGTTTATTTAGTTCATTAATCGAAATTAGATGATCATTTTGTCAAATTTACGGATAGTTAAAGTACATTCTCCAAAAAAAGCATATTGTAACCCTTGAAAATTGGTTAGAATCAGAATTAGGGATGCCTGTTTTAAAATTGATTATCACAATTTCAAGTGATAGAAGCAACATCCAAACACAATATATCTGATTCTAAATTTTGATTGATATGTGTTTCAGTACCCTAGAATTCAGAACCTTGTGCAACCTGACGTGTCTTTGGTACAAAGCATCAAAGACAAGCCCTCAAATTCACTTTCAGAAGCAAGGTAACTCATGGGTTTACTAGTTTCTCTTGTTGATGTAATTTCTATTTGTTAGTTAAATGTTCGGGGGTTTCTGCTCTAAACCTTGATAAATTCTTTAAATTTTTCGTTGTAGTGGAAAGAATGAGGAGTCATTGAGTTTAAGCACAAGAAAAAAAGTGACATTTGATACAAATGTCACCACCTATGAGCATGTTCAAGTCTATGACAGCACCGAATCTTTACTTGAAAGGAACGAAAAGGGCGAAACATTTCCCAAGTCAGCTGAAACCCATTCCGATTCCGGTTCTCAAGGCGTTTCCGACATTGTCAATGCTGTATCCTACCCTCCAAATTACAGGTATGGAAACTGCCTTGAAAGCGATGATGAAGTTGAAGATTCAGATCAAGAGGATGAAGACAATGAAGAAGAAGAAGAAGATGATTACGATGACGAAGACGGAATCATTTGCCAAGAAGTTTGGTGTGAGTCGATTCCGATTCCCGTTCCATCAACAGAATCAAGAACAGAATCGTCTTCATTGGACAAAGTCGGATCGAACAGCAATGCACGCGACAGAAGTGCTTACGTGATTCCCGTGTTGAACCCCGTAGAGAATCTTTCCCAATGGAAAGCTTTGAAATCGAAAGAAACTCCTCCACCAACAAAGGCATTGAACTTCCACCGACAAAAGGAGAATTCTTCTTTGAATTCCGCCCCATCTGCAGTCGATTCCAGCCTTTCGAATTGGTTGGTTAACACACCAAACAACAAGGGAATCGGAAGCTATAACTCCGGAATTGAAGCGATTTCCTCTGGAAAAAACTCGAGCATTGAAGATAGACCGATTTTGGGCGCTTTGACAGTAGAGGAGCTCAAACAGTTTTCAACATCATCTTGTACACCAACACCAAAGAAATCACCAAGTAGAAGCCCTGATGATATGCCTATTATTGGTAGTGTTGGAAGCTATTGGAGCTCAACTCCATCATATAAAGGCATACCAAATAGCAACAGCAAGTATAGAGAGGTATATATCTATAATAATGTCTGTGATTTATTTGTTGTGTACTTGTGTTTGGGTTAGCACTTAGCACTTACTGATGTTGGTAACTTGGTATGCAGGATAAGAAAGTGAATTGGCACAATACCCCATTTGAAACAAGATTGGAGAGAGCTTTAAATGGAGGTGTTGCAGAAGCTTAGAAGATGTCTGTTTTGTTTGGTCTACTGCAAATCTGAATCTGCACTTCCTCATTTGTGTGTGTATGCTTTTGTGAGAGATTTGGTTTGGATTGTTGTGATTTTTGCACAGTTGGTTTGTTGTAATTCTTTTATTGGTTTTTGGTGGTTATAAATACAAAGATTGGGGTTATCTTTTATATCTAATGAGTAAAATAAAAATTTCCTTGTACTTACTTTTCTTATCAAGTATTGTAAAGGACTTATGTATTACTTTTCATTATTCAAATATAAACACAAATAGATGCAATTAGTAAGTAGTATAACATGTTTTGGACTCGAGATTTGGAAAAAGAAAGTTTCAAAAAGACATTGTAAAATTTACATCAGAAACTTGAGAAAGCTTTTTCCGTCTGAAAGCTCTACTGGTTACCTGAGGAGTCTTTATTGCTTTTCTTTCTTGTCTAAATCGTTCTCTTTCCACAATCATAATAACCCATCTAGGCCTTCCATAGTGAAACATAAGCCATCCGATACCCAATCCAATTACACTCCCAAATCCATATCCCAAAGCCACAGATTTCCAAGTAAATCCATTAAAGAAACCAGAGTCGTCATCATCATCATCATCATCTTCAATCGGTATCGGAGATGATGACACCTCATCATCTCCACAGCTCTTTGTCAAAGGGAATCCACATAACCCCATGTTCCCTTCATATGAATTGTTCCCAAACGTATTAAACTGTCCGCCGTCAGGTATGCTTCCTTGAAACTGATTTTGGGAAAAGTTTACGACCGAAAGGAACGTCAAAGCCCTTAGTTCTACAGGAATTTTACCTACCATCTTGTTCGATGAGAGATCTAAAGACTCCAGCACTCTAAGATCTCTCAGGTGTATCGGAATTCCTCCCGTGAGACTGTTATGGGATAGATTCAGGAACAGGAGTGAACTTAATCTTCCGATGGTATCCGGAATTTTTCCTTGGAATTTATTAACCGAAAGATCTATTGTGGTGTAGACGACAAGGATTCTCTCCAGTTCGCGTCTCGATCCCTTCACCACCAGCACCAATTTGTCTTGATACATGGACATCGACGAATTTCGTCCCATGTACAGTGGTCCAGATGAGTCTCCATTAACGCCCATCATTGCTTTAAAGTTCTTGAAGTAATTTTTCGGCAAATTCCCACTGAATTCATTGCTGGACAGGTCAAGAATTCGCATCTTTGGAAACGGCTTTTTGTTGTTGGAGTTGTCTAAAGTTCCCTTGAGTTTATTACCTCGCAAGACCAGAACTTGAAGCTCTGGAAGCGTATCAACCCAGTGAGGGAATGTTCCCGTTAGCATGTTGTTTCCCAAATTTAAAACTTCCAGTTTCCTACAGTTTACCAAATCCCAGGGAATTGAGCCTTGCAGTCGATTGCTGTTCATGTTCAGACTCCTTAAGTCGTTATTTTGCTCGAATGTTGCAGGAATGTTTCCACGGAAGCCATTCAGCCGGAGATCCAACACTTGGAGGTTGCTGCTGAAATTACCCAAACATTGAGGAAGCACACCACTAAACCGGTTATTCCCTAGGTCAAGAATCTGAAGGGATTTCAAGTTGCAAACCGATTGAGGGACTGAACCCATGACCGAGTTATTACTTAAAGTCAAATATCTCAGTTTTTCACAACGGCTTATCGTTTCTGGGAAAAAACCCGAAAATTGGTTGTCATGAAGCACAAATATCTCCAAATTTCTGAGGTTGCCGATTGAATATGGGATTTGACCTTGGAGCCGATTCTCGACCACGTAAATCTCAACAAGAGAGTTCATGTTCCCCAACTCTTCAGGAATGAAACCAGTTAGCAGGTTGTCATTAAGGTACAACTGTTCCAACTTGCTAAGGTTTCCAAGTGAAGCCGGGATTTGACCACTAAACTTGTTGTGGCTGAACGAAAGTTCAATCAGTGAATCCAGTTTTTCGAGTTGTGGTGGGATGAATCCCGAAAGCAAGTTTTCATGAACATCGAGGATCTCTAACTTGGTCAGGTTGCTAAGTGAAACAGGAATGGAACCAGTGAACTTATTATGGCCTATCATTAACACAATTAGGGACTTCATTTTTCCTAAGTCGTCTGGAATTCGACCCGAAAGTTCGTTCATATATACAGACAGGATCGTTAAGGAGGTCAGATTTCCTAACGAAGGTGGGATTGGACCCGAAAGATTGTTTTGGTAAAGGTACAAAGTAGACAAGTTGGTTAGGGTTCCTAGGGTAGCTGGAATGGGTCCTTTTTGGAAGTTGAAGGAAATATTTACGTTCACGAGATTGACTAGTTTTCCCATCTCTTGAGGAATATAACCAGATAACTTATTGTCATCCGCACGAAGATAAACCAATTTGGTCAAATTCCCTAAAGATGCAGGGATTGAACCGCTAAACTGGTTCTGGTTCAATCGAAGGGTCTCGAGACTGGTTAACAATCCTATTTCGGGGGGGATTGTACCGGAAAAATGATTACCGGAAAGATCGAGAAAGAGGAGTTTAGAAAGATAGGTGATCTCAGGTGGGATGCCACCCGAAATGTCA